GGCCCTTCAACCAACAAGTACCCTTGCGGGTCATACACACACTCAACCGACAAGCACTCAGACAGGCATGCAAACCAGCAGGCACGCACACACAGACATGGAAATCACAACAGAATGCGGGAATTTCAGTAAGGCATTCATTCCAGCGGCAAATCCCATAAATCAGCAGTGTTCTCAGTCTGTGTTTTTGGCTGGTCATTACATTACCCCCCTCTCAAGATCGAGGTCCCTTTGAGCGTGTAACTCATAAGAGTAAATCAGAAGGAGAGACTTAGTAAGTCCGTGAGGAGTCATGGTTGCAACAAATTCAGCAGTCTGTCCCTCAGCGATCTGTCGCTCATAAGCATTCACAACACGAGGAGCATTCTTTAGCAGCTCTTTTCGGTCGATCCAGAAGAATTCAGTCAACGGGTGATAGAGGAAGTGAACCTTGTACTGTCTGTTCCTCCGTCTTCCCTCGTTGAAACGATTTTGTCTATCTCATGGCCGTCGTCGATAGAGCGAGGTATCATAGGGTCTCGGAAGGGAAAAGTCTCATCATCAATGTGTGGAAACAGTTTGGACGCATGAAAGACCGGATACATGCGCAGATGAGGAGGCACGTCAATCATAAATGAAGGACCAAAATCATCCCCAATCACCTTCAGAATCTGCCAAGGGCCATAATACAATGGAAGAAGCTTCCGTGATACGCCCTCTTCATCAGAAAACTCAGACATTTTGGCCCAAACATAATCCCCCACGTTGAATTTTTCTTCTCTGCGCAACTTGTTGGCATGTTTGATCATGGCATGCCGGCGCTTGCTCATGGGCCACGTGACCGTTCGGGGAACAGATAGGAGAGAAGATTATGCATCGGCTATCCATATTGCAACTGATTTGGTGTCACGCCAGTTGCAGAGTGAATGGAATTGTTATACAGTTCCTTCACTTTGTGCAGCTCCTTGTCCCACATTTTCTGATCTGGAACAATCAATGCGCGAAGTAGTTGGATGACAGTCTGGTTGATCTCCTCGGCCAATCCATTTGGCTTCGGGGTGTCGACCAGAAGTCTTGTTCAGTTTAATGTCATAGATTTGAGAGGTGAAGTCCTTCCAATCTTTGCTGATGAATCTGGTGTCCCGATCACTCACAATAGTTTTCGGGATGCCAAACTGCAGAATGTACTGCTGATGGAATTCTTCAATGACAAGTTCAGTCGGGGCATTGGGAGGGAACGGAATCAAGTTCAGAAATTTGGAAAAACGGTCCACGATGACCATGACTTGTGAATTTCCAGCCTCACTCACCTTTCCCATGTCCGTGAAGTCGATGGAAATCGACTCACCAGGTCCATCCGGAATGGGGAGGGGTCTCAGCAGACCATAAGGCTTATGCCTGTGGACCTTGGTTCTTTGGCATACCTGATATTCAACAATAATTTTTTGAGAGGATCCTTTCATTCCTGGCCAATCAAACTGTTGCAGAAGGCTTCCATAAGTCTTCTCAAAGCCGAAGTGTCCACTCTGACCATGTGCCAAATCCAAGAAATGAGTCCGGAGAGGCGCATGGTTGGGTACACACAAACGATCAAACTTCCCATACCAGCGGAATACAAGGCTCTCGCACTCATGAAAATCAGGCTGACTGTTAGGGTCAGCCTTGAGCTGCTCAAGGATGGGACTAAGGTCCGGATCCTTGGCGGTGTGTTCGACCAGATCCTCCTTCAGTTTCCTTCGGAGGTCATACGAACCCACAAGGCAAGTCAAAAAYTCAGGGTGACGCGACAAAGCATCARCAACGCGATTATAACAGCCTTTCTTATGTTTCAATTCAAAATTGTACACATCAATGTCATGCAACCAGCGGGTCAGCGTAGGAGAGAGATCAATTTGTGTCTTAATCCACTGCAAGGTCTGATGATCTGAGTAGACCTTGRAGTGCCGACCCAARAGGTAGTGCTTCCAATGTGTGAGCGCCTCGCGCAAGGCGTAGAGCTCACGCATGTATGTGGAGGTAGCTACCTTGTGGCTGGGCATGCGTTTGCTGTAATATTCGAGCGGACACAGTCCATCACCATCATCTTGTTGCAGCACTGCACCAATCCCAAACTGGCTCGCATCCGTAGTGACTACGAATGTGAGGTTGGGATCTGCAATGCGGAGCACGAGATGACTCACCAATGCCTCTTTTAAGGCTTGGAATGCAGTCTCACACTTCTCACACCACGTATAGGCAACATTCTTACTGGTTAGTCTTGAGAGTGGATGAGCAATGACAGAAAATTTTGGCACAAACTTCCGGTGGTACGAAGCCAAACCAAGAAAAGAACGCAGTTCGCGTACGTTCGCTGGTTGAGGCCAATTTCGTATGACCTCCACCTTGGTTGCCTCTGGCTCAAGGCCGTTTGTAGACAACCGGTGCCCAAGATAGATGACGCTGTCCCTTCCGAACTCAGATTTCTCTAAGTTGAGGTGCAACTGTGCCTCCTTGAGGACCTGCAAGACCTCCTCAAGGTGCTTGAGGTGCTCTTCCAAGGACTTGCTGAAAATCAGAATATCATCAAGGTACATAACCACAAACCTGTTGAGCTGATGGCGGAGTACCTTGTCCATGAGGCTCTGAAATGTGGCTGGTGCATTCGTAAGACCGAAGGGCATAACGATGAACTCGTACAGCCCATCGCATGTCTTGAATGTAGTTTTGTGCTGGTCACTCGGATCAACTTCAATCTGGTGGTAGCAAGATTTGAGGTCGATCTTGGAGAAGACCTTGCACCCACCTGCAACATCTAGCAGATCATCTATACGAGGCAAGGGATACGCGTTCTTTCGGGTGATACGGTTTAGGCCACGATAGTCAATGCACTTCCGGAGTTTGCCTCCTTTCTTCGGTACAAACAGAACAGGTGCACCGAACTTAGACTCACTAGGCCTAATCCATCCACGATCGATCATGTCATCAATCTGCCTCCTCAACTCCTCCAACTCGCCTTATCCCATACGATAGACGCAGCCCTTTGGAGGAACACTCCCTTCTATTATCTCGATCTTGTGTTTGACCAGACACTCGGGAACTCCACGAGGTTCGGCCAAGACTTCAGGAAATCGATCTAATAGCTGGCGAATGTTTGTTGGGACTTCCGGTGGAGGATTGTCCTCATCTGGAGAAAGAAAATCAGTTTGAGAATTTACAACAATTACAACCGGATTCGGAGTACTTGGTTCAGAAGTAGAGGGATTATTCACAGTAGAAGCAGATGGATTAGAAGTAGAGGCGGCAGAAATAGAGTTACTTACCGAGGTAGAAAATGCAGCAAAAGTAGAAGGCACATGGAGAGGCTTTACAAAAGCTACATGTACATGCCCAACTTCCTTGCGCCTGCGCACTGATTTGCAGAATTTGGACTCGTGCGTCTCATCCAATAGGACGGTACGCTCGTTCCCCTTGGCATCACGCACCACAAACTGATTGTCCGCCCACGTGGTCCTTAGGCAATGAGCCTTTAACCAGCCCAAGCCAATGACCGCGTCGAACGGACACTTGTCCATGACATAGAAGTTGAGCTCATGTGTGATAGTGCGGTCCTTGTCAAAGGGGACACGCACACCTTTGACAGCATGTGTAGAGGTGACAACCTCTTGGTTGCCCACCTAGGTCTGACAAGGGTTCTGCAGTTCCACTTGCTTCATTCCCAGGCCCGCCTTACGAATCCCATTAGGAGAAAAGAAATTAGTGGTTGAACCACTATCAATCAGCACGCGGATGTATCGGCGGTAATGAGCAGTTTAAAGAAGGTTAGCTCCACACTCCCTTGAACACGACGTTGTTGCTCGAGTTGCATCCAATGTTCCATGTGAGCGTGGAAGTCAACTTCCTTAGACTCATCCCAAGGCTCAGTGTATAGCACGTGAACTGCAGCAACCTTGGAATCAGCGTCGTTCCGGGCTTTAAGAATAGGCTGTTGATCAGATTCAGGCTCATTAGAGGGGCCTGCAACTGATGTTCCAGCTTCCCTTGCTGTAGGGAGTGTTGATGACTCCTCTACGCCCTTTGCTTGTTTCCCTGGAGTCTATAACAGTCCTGCATAGCATGCCCAGGCTTTTGACAATGCAAGCATATGCGCAGTTTAGATCTTCTTTCCCATTCCTTTTGACTGATACGGAGGGCTTCCCAAGGCTTGGTAGACGCATCCTCCGGTTTCTCAGGGATCTTCGCATTCTTGGGGAGGTGGACAACAGTTCCCTTACCCGAACCACGGTTAGGCCCCTTGTTTGAAGTTGCCTTTCTAAAAGCATTAAGTTTTTCGTCTTCGTTTACGTCAAACTCAATGGCTGATGTGGAACAGCCCATATCAGAGTCCGGCTCTAGATTGTCATCTAGAGACAGATCATCCGCGTAGGACTGATCTTCAGCCTCCCGATGTTCGTGCAGTGCAAGCTGGTTGTTGCTTCCATACCATTTGCGTTGTGGTTTTCCACCTGCAGTGGGCGCCTTCTTCCGCCTGGCGAGGTCCTTGGCCTCTAGGTTGACTAGATCCGTCATGAGCTCTTGCCAGGAGGTATGGTCTTTGAGTGCTAGTAGGGAGAGGTATTCTTTAGGGGCCACTCTCATGACTACATCCATACAAGACACGTCGGTCATTCCCGGATCTGGAGTGGTGAACAAACCAGTCAAGTGCTGTTCCAAAGCCTGCATGGAGGACCTCCATGTTTGACCCTTGAGGGCCTCAAGCTTCAGCCTAGCCTTGAGCGCAGCATGCTTATCCTGGTACCGTGTGATGAGAAGGTCCTCAAGGGCGCGTACAGGGGTTAACTTCAGCCACTCAGTCAGGTCAATTCTTTCATAACCTGCAACAACAGTTTGGAGTTCAATGTGATTCCGTACGGCGGCCTCAGTATTAGTGTCCATGATCATGCTTCGGTCTTCTTGCGGTGTCCGCATGACCTCGAAGTATGACCACATGGAACTAATCCAAGAGGTGATATCCGTTTTCCCCTCGTACTTGGACGGCAAGGTGGCCGCCCGCTTGTCCACTACGGGACCGCTGTACTGAACGCCAGTAAGGACTGTGGCATTTTGGGTTGATGTCCTTGCATTTGGGACTATGACTAGTGCAGAGCTGTCGGTGCTGCCGCTCGAGGAGCTGGCACCGGTTCATGCGCTCGTCACAGTTCCACTTGCTCTTGCCACGAGGACTGTGTTAGATTGAGAGTATGGGACTGCAGCAGGTCGAGGGTTAGGAGGGCGGGGGGCAGACAACTAGGACTGTTTGAGGCTGAGTAGCTCAGCCTGCAACTCTTGGTTTCACTGCTCTAGTGCTGTCACACGGGACTCAAGGTCTTCCAAGGTCCGCAATCGAACCAAGGCTGCTACGACTGCAGCTAGTCCCTCCTGGAACCGGTCAGCATTGGCTTTTAAGATCCGAAGGAGGGCCACCTGATCAGCAATGTTGGTGGCCCTGGCTGCTGCCTCTGCCTCCCTTTCCCTCTACACGGCATCATCATAAAGCTTCTGGAAGAACGGTCTCTCGTTTTCATCTGCTGCATCCAGCATGGCCTGCCATTGGGCAGATGTGATGTTTGCCATGTCGGAGGAAGGGGTGTCAGTAGATCTCTCAAGAGGGGTCCGCTCTCTCCTTRCGTTTGGRCRAACACTCCTCTTGMCCCTCCTCACACTCTCAAACAGAACACCTTCTCTCTCCCTTCTCTCTCTCTCAGCTGTCTGTGCACGCGTCTCGATACCGGACATAGATAGTTCAGACGAAAGAAACAAGCAGAAAATCACTCAGAGAAGAAGGTAGAACTCCTAGCCGGAGCGGCGATTTATTTCGACTTAGAGAATGACACTCAGCGGAATAAAAGATTAAATAAATAAATAAATAAAATAAAACGGAAGAGAGGGCTGACTTATAGAACGGGCCATATCAGATTAGCTGGAGATCCCCTCTTGTCTAACCTGACAAGGGACATGTATCACAATAAATTAGCCGAAGAAAGCTAACTGCAGCAATGGAGATTTCGAGGGGTGCAAACGGTCGCCGAGCCAGACGCGGGGCAGTATGTGATAACATGCGGTAAGACCAGTCAAGATCCCCTTGAAAGGAATGCCCTTGCTAGCCGTCTGTCCCCCAAGTTCAGCGCAGCAAAGAGATGCACAGGCAGCAATAGATTTGGGCCCGAAAGGTCCTGTCCCATTGGGCCTGGTCCCACTGGGTCCCCAGGGGTCCCAAGTATGTCGTGGACCAGGACCAACGTGATAGGGGTACCAAGTCGGTCCCAAACTGCCTCTACCATACTGAAAAGGAAAAGACAGCTTTCAACAAGAACTTACCCCTACAACCGTTCAGAAATGAAAAGACAATGCACCGTAGAAAGATATGTCATTTAGAATAGATACATCATCAGGTGAGAAAGCAATCCACATGCTCGCACACACAACCAAGACCGCAGAGAAGAGGAAGAGAGCCCAACACACCCCCAACAAGCCATGAAGTACCAAGCAACCTCCCACGGGCATAACCAGGTCACACGACACTTACCTGTGAGGCCCGGCCTCCAAAGCACCCCCCTCTCTCATAAGTCCTCCTGACCCTTAGCTACCACTACACGAAGTGTCCTAGCATGACTAAGAGGGCCTTCCTACACCCCTGTTGCAAAGCCGGATCCCCCGTCGATGTCTGAAGACCAAAGTAGCGACTTGCAGCAATCCAACGCAAATATGGCAGCCTCCGATCAAGTCTCCCTCTTGAGGGGAAGCCCAAAAGTCACTCAATGTCTTATTGAAGTGCAGATTCCAGGTGCGAGTACCTCTCACTCTCTACTCCCTCTAGCTTACTCCAATCAGCCTCCTTTGTGTCTCGCCACCCCATCCATTCACTCAGTCAACCTGGTCAGGTCAAATGTCGACCATACATGACCTAACCAGGTGGGGGCAGTATCCACATACCTCACTG